AGAAATAAATCAGTTTGTTGTGTTCATCAGCAAACCTGTCAACACTGAAGGAATCCCAAATTTCATTCAGCTCGTAAAAAAACCTCATCCGTCACTGACCAGTCCTCATAATCCACCGACCTGCTTAACTCATCTATTGCAACATTCTCATACCTGGGAGTCCACTGAAATGAAGGATATATATTGCTCTCCCTACAAAATTGGAATAATGACAGCCAGTTGAACGTGGTATGGGTACAAATAGAAACAGAAACGGAAAGGAAGGAGTACCGAGCGGTCATCAAGTTTTTAGAAGTGTTAAGAAGGGAGTTAGGGCGCCAATATTTCAAAATTGGTAATAAATTGGTTATCAACACATACATCAATACAATATCATCCATCCAAAATAATTCTGCTAAAAACCCATCTGGGCCAGGGCTTTTATTATTCTTTCTTTTTTTTAAATGCGATAAAGTACCTCATCATGAGCTAATTCTCCCTCAAGATAACAAAATTCTGTATCTGCATTTAGTGTTGGCACATGGGTATCAGAGAACAGGTTTTCTAAGTCAATTAGTGTGCAGTCTTCAGTTTTATAGTTTCAGACAGTAATCTCTTGACACTTCTTAAATTAGTTCATTTTGCGTGTTTTGTGTCACAACTCCCTTTCAAGTAATGATATGGTTTTGTTAAAAAAGTTTCTACATTCTAGTTGCCGAAAATATTTTTAGTTTTTTCACCTTGTTTTATCTATTTAACTTTCAGTTCTTATTCTCTGCAGATTTTCCAATTCTAGTTAGGCTGCCTTTATTTGTTATATTAATTCCCCATATATATATATATATATATATATATATATATATATATATATATATATATCTCATGTCAGTATAATTGGTCGTCAATTGTAAATACCCTCTCATTTTTAGCTGTCTCGTCTTCATATGTAGAGTATCATTAATTGTCTTTTTAACCACTGAGATAATAAATTTCCAAAATCCTTGTCCCCTTTGTTTATCTGTAGTGAAACAGTCATGACAGTTAGAGATATAATAGTATGGTCCGAATTTATACTCGGGTCTATATCGCTGTCTTCAACTGAATAAATAGTCTTCAACTCTTAACCGGATGTTTTCGTTTCCAATGTGAAGGGCACATTGCACGTGTTTTCTCGCTGTGTCTGCACGAGGGATACAATTTGTGTTTTACCGACTTAAACTGCATGTAAATAACAACACACCTCCAAAAAGAATTTAAAATGTTAATACTATGTAAATATATTAGTCCTGACTATGTAAGACATTGATTTTTATGATTGTGCAACTGATTCATTTAATCGAAAATACTTGCGTTCGATACCGGAAGTGGAACAGTCACTGACATTGTATAGAGTTTTTTGTTTAGTGTACTTGGGCGGTTTCAGTATAAATTCGGTATGAAGTCGAAGGAAGCATTTTTGTTTTATACTTTTTTATGTTTATGTTCGGAGTCAAAACTTTACTTTTGTACTAGGCTTCTGTGATATTCTGTTATGGGGAGGGGTGTTGGGAGTGGCGCACTGGTTGGGTACTAGACTTCTGGGATATTCTGTAATGGGGAGGGGGGTTGGGAGTGGCGCACTGGTTGGGTACTAGACTTCTGGGATATTCTGTAATGGGGAGGGGTGTTGGGAGTGGCGCACTGGTTGGGTACTAGACTTCTGGGATATTCTGTAAGGGGGACGTGGATTGGATGGGGCGCACTGGTTGGTTACTAGGATTCTTGGGTATTCTGTAAGGGGGTTAGGAGGGGTTCACTGAATGGGTACTAAGCCTCTATTGTACTCTGTAAGGGGGAGGCTCCGGTTGGGTGCGGGTGTGGGGGGATGGGGGGGGGGGGGGGCTGGCTTGGTACTAGACTACCGGGGTACTCTATCAGGGGAAGGCGCTGGGGTCTGACGCGTGTTGTTTATGTATAATCTACCAGCGACTTTATTGTACAGGGGCATCAGTACATTCTGATTTAATCAAAAATTTCAAATGAAACTTGCTCCATAATGTATAAGTTGTTTTTTTCCATTTAGCTCTTTTCTACATTTTCACCCCACCCCTCTCCTTGGTATCAATAAATTTAATATTACTTGGTCATTTGGTGGTTGCCTAAAGCCTCAGTCACACAGACAATGCGACCGCCATGCAACCTCCTGGCGACCAAAATATTTGACAATCGCAATAAGGTTTCAGGGGTCTCTGAAAGGTTTCACTGAGGTCGCTACAAGGTTTCAGAGCGGTCGCAATCCCGTTCGGTCGCAACCAGTCTTTTGAACATGCACTAAAGACTGGCTGCGACCGATTTGGTCCCTCGGAGGTTTCATTGGTCTCCTTGAGGTCCCCAAGTGCTGTTATTTTAATCACAGATTGGTTTCCACTGTGCGGCGATCGGTTTCTACACAAGGGTGTTGACTCTTTTGCAACCTTGTGGCGACCTATCGGTGATTGATCAGTGATGAGGCGGTGATCGACCGGCGCTTCATCGGTGACTGGTTGCAAAGAGGTTTCAAAGCGTGCGTCGACCATTCGCGGTCCCTAAAAAGACCTGTCTGTGCGTTACAGCACCATTTGGTCAAAAGTTTTCAGAGAGTTCACATAAATTAATTCCATTTATCACTATGGTCCGTAAAGGCAGGAAAATTAAAGAACCAGAAATTGTAGAAGATACAATACAGACAACTGCTGGGTGCACAGGTCTGCTACAACTGAGCCAGAGCCAACAACATTTCAACAAAGGAAGAGTAGAGGGAGCCAGTTTACCGGGTGCTCTAATGGCGACATGCTTTCCATCTATGGCCCAAACTGCATGTGGAAAGTTCCATCTTGACCCGAATTTGTCACTCAAAAGGCGCCACTCTTCAGTTGTTGAAGGTGCCTTCAATACTTCATCACCATACTCTTAGATGATGGTTTCACAAACTTCATGAATAAATTCTGATATTGTGTTTGGTGCCACTCTGAAGTTGCCAGGAACCGAAGGGTGACAGCAAGCTTCAGTCCAGCACTCAAAAGATGTCTCCGATTAGTGTCTTCTTTGGTCAATCTGGGTGAATCTGTTCGTGAAACATGGCAGGCTCCATTCTGAGGTAGCCCACGAAATCACCACTCTGCCATCAGATTCTCCTAGTCTCCTGGCTGTGGCCTTCTTGCGATCCAAGTTCTCAGACAATACCGCCTTCGCCTTGTATTTCTCATTCTTCTGTACACAATCATGGCTGCAACTGCAGCATTTTGATTTATTCTTTGCAGGCGGAGCAATGGCAACTGTTCTGCTGTTAACATCTTGACAACTTGCACAGAAATGATTTGATTCAGAAAAGCACCCTTTTTATATGCATAATGTTTTGATCGGTGATCGATCGACTACTAGTCACCGACTAGTCCCCGTCCAGTTGCAACAAGTCACCGAAGATTCGCTGACTAGTCACCGATCGGTCTCAACCAGTTGCAAACATTTCGGTGTATCTGCGGTGAACAGTTGCCGATCAATCACGGACAAATTGCAGAACCTATCGCTGATTGATCGGCGATCATACCCTAATTCCAAATATGGGCAGAAGTACAGTAGTTGCACCGGTCTCGGCGATCGCCAGGAGGTCGCAAGGGAAATCAGTCGCCAGGAGGTTGCATCGCGGTCGCATTGTCTGTGTGACTGAGGCTTTAGCGCCAATTCTGTGTACTTTCTTGAAGTGTAGATGCTGACTATCATGCTTCAGTGACGTTTCTCACACACGCTCATTATCTTCACAGGAGGTTTCAGGTGCAGGGCCATGCTCTGGAATATTGGCAAAGAGGTCTGAGAATGCTTCATTTAATCTCCAATTTTCATCTGAATTCAGCCACATTTCTTTAACTTGATCTCTCAGAGCTTTGATTTCTTTACTCAGTTGGGTTGATTTGTGTTTTAGTTAATGATAACTGTCTCTAATGAATTGAGTACATTCCTCTTAGTTACGAACTCTGTCATAAACATCCTAAGAAGTTTGAAGGGTAATTTCTGAAGCAACTATATTCGCTTTAATTGTGGATACATCATACTATATTGTATCAAATTTCGAGAGTTTTGTCTCTGATCAAAATTTCTGCTGCTGGGTCAGGACTACGTTGGGGGTGGTTAACGTAGGGTGCCTTGTGAGGTAGGTAGTAACCCCGCAGTATAGCAAACACTGGCTGATGTGCCTGGTTTGAGGTAGAAACCGTTTACAGTGATTCGCCTACTGGGGTACTCCCAGCAACTGACATGTTGGGTGTTGATGTGTCACCTGTATTCGTGGTAGTCGGGTCTTTTGATGACAAGGATTTCTTAGTTTCTTCTTCTTGTGTTGTTCTTCCGTTTCTGGAGATCTGCACTTCTTCTTTCCCATGCTATATAAAGTGAATTAAACGAAACTGTGAGCAACCCACATTTCCTGTCAATAATGCCGATTTGGGGTAGAGAGCAAATGTATTTAGAACACCATCTAGCCCTACCTCCCTCCCTCCCTCCCTCACATGGCGGCGAGAGAGAAGGACCAATGGCCCGAGTGAACAGTTCTGGTTGATGGAAGAGTCAAGAGGAGTTTAGATTCAGATCTCAGAGACGTTTTTGCAGTGCATCTATTGAGCAGGTCACTAAAATATTGTGGAGCATCACCGGATAGGCATCTGTGGACAAGACAGAGAATTTTGTAAGTGACAAAATAAAAGCCGATGTAAGTTGAACAGAACAGGGGTGATGTGACAGTACTTGTTATTGCAGGAGACAATCCTAGAGACTGTGTTTTGTACATGTTAGACCTGGTTAATAATTGATGTGCGTGCACCAGTCAGAAGGCTATTGCAGTAATCTATCCTGCATATGACCTAAACATATTCCATATTCACATTTTCCCAACGGAAATATGAGCAAACGGTCTATATCGTGAAGCATAATGATTGCATTTCAGGATACAAAGCATAACGGATCGGGTAGTGGACACATTGAATGCATTGACATATGTTGGAATCGTACATTTTATATCACTTACTGAAGCACATTATGTATTCGTTTCCCATAGACAATAACAGATAGGAGTCTATATATATTGCAGCAGTGCATGGAGAGAATCTTTCAGGATCAGCATCATGGATAATGTATACATCCTGAAATATTTGGCATATGTTGGAATCGTACTGTGTTTACTAGGTATTATTGGAAACGCATTCAGCGTGTATGTTCTTTCCAAGATGAATTCAGCGTCCTTGAGACTTTTGAAGTACCTCAATGTTGTGGACATTGTACTTTTAGTGATAGTTTGTAGTTTGCTGACGATGATTGTCCTGTGGTGGAAAAGAGCGTCGTTTGAACACCATTTCGTGATATTGTGTACAAGTGTATTGTTTCTAACAGTTCAAACGTTTGAAACATACTTAACTGTCTTGATTGCCTTTGTGAGATGTCTAGCCGTGGCAATGCCTTTCCGATTTTCAACTTGTATGCGGGATTCTGTTCAAAGTAAGTTGCTCGTGGCAATTGCAGTATTTTCACTGTTATTCAATCTGCCTCTCTATCTATTGTTGATGCCGAACAGTATTACATTGAGGATGGCTAAATTTCAAATCATGTACCTAAGTCTGGTATTTTCCTTCATTCTTCCTTTACTCGTCATCACCATCTGCAACGTAATCCTAGTCGTTTCAAGATGTAGAATGAGATCAGTCCAAAGTCAGAACGACCGGTGTAGATCACGTGATAGACGACACAGCCGGGGCGCATTTCAGCTGACATGCCTTGTTCTTGCAATAACGGCAATGTTTATTGCCACTCACGCTCCTGTAGGCGTGTTCAAATGTCTTCGTTTGACATATCAAATTGACATAACTGTACAGTTCATTGGTTTTCAGATTTTGATAACTATTATTTATAGTGCTACTAACTTTATTCTCTACTGTTGTTTCGGTAGTGAGTTTAGATCTACCCTGATATCTTTGTGCAAGAAACCTTGTTTCACAAGGACAGACCAGCCTATGCCCGTGTCACCAGTGTAGCATTGTGCAGCTATCAGTATTCACGAGGAGAGACCGGTGACACTCACAAAGATATAATTGTTACCGATGTTTGTGCAACGGAAGATTATTTGAACAATATTGGAGTGGGGATTGTGACTTTGTGTTTTGTAATACTATCTGACATCTGACAGGGAGAGGAACTGAATCAATAAATTTGAAACATAACTCCAATACTCCTTCTGATATTACCAATAAGCTGGGTTTCAGCGAAATATCCACGTCTTAATATGTTGGCAAGGTTCAAGTTATCCCGTGTCACAAGCATATGGACAAAACTATTCGACAGATCCCAGCTATTACTGGGACGTTCAGGTCATCTCCGGCGACGCCCAACACTCCGGTAAGTCAATACGTGTAAATGTTTTGACAATTCTACTTTCTCGTGTCAGTATAACGTTTGTGTAAATACTGAAAGAGCTAAAGAAATTTAGAGTAAAGAATAAGCTGAATTTTGAAAATACACTCCAGCACAGTGAGTTGACATTATCGGTATCAAGATATAGATGTTTAGCGACTGAACTCATCAGCGTAGTTGTGTTATCATAGTATAGACATTTGGAAGATGTACATGTATGAATGGGTGTTAACGGATCTGGAAACACTAAACCTGGTGGCCATTTATAAGCAAAGAAGCCGTATATTTTCACTGACCAATTACCCATTGCAGCTACATCCTTACTGCTATCAGGGTGATTTAACGACTTAAGAACACATTTTCCTTTAAAAACCCATTCTGAACTGGTGACCTGGACAGGTAATTGAGAATAACATTACAATCTATGAAATATGGCTGATTGCTATTAGTGCACTTAAGGGAAAGTTGAGATGAGATGAAATAGGGTTTTACGTCTCGTTCAATATTATTTCACTGACATAGTGACGTCCATGCAACTATTTGTGTTGGTGCTTGTGCTATTCTAGTCTGAAATTTAACACTAGAAGGGTAACGCTATTTTTCAGGGCATTATCATTTGCAGAAGCCCGAGGTTTTCTATTAACTGCCCGACGAAGGAGGGCAGTTGAAAAGACCGAGGGCTTCTGCAAATGATAATGCCCTGAAAAAGAGCGTTACCGTTATTATAGCTAAAATGGATGGAATTTGTTATCAAATAAAAAGAAACAACAACATCGGTTTTGAAACACTTACTGCAATCAACACGAATGTCACTGACCACATTTTACAAATATGGAAACGTCATACAACAAACCAGATGACGTCACTATAATACGTGACGTCATTTTCTCTACCCTATGACGTCACCTAGCAACGGACTTGATAATGGCCCGTCGTCAAGCAATATGAGGGCATTATCAAGTTACAGTGGCCCGCTCATTTTTGATAACGTGCGGGCGGTTTAATGATAATTCTATCCATTTTAGCTATAAGCATGGATAACCCACTCAGACACATTATATCAGCCCGGCCAGCCCGTGTCCTTACAAGTAGTCCCGAGCGCCAGGCAGAGTAACAACATGTACCATTTGTTTCCGTATTTTGGTATGACGCGACCAGGAACCACCGACCCCGCTCTCCGCTCTCCTGATGGTCGCTCTACCCACAGCATTCCTGAGGTGCTACACACGGGAATGTAACGCTGATAAACATGAGGTCTTGACTATAAACGTCAGTGAGTGAGTATGGTTTTACGCCGCTTTTAGCAATATTCCAGCAATATCACGGCGGGGGACACCAGAAATGGGCTTCACACATTGTACCCATGTCGGGAATCGAACCCGGGTCTTCGGCGTGACGAGCGAATACTTTAACCACTAGGCTACCCGACCGCCCCTCTTGACTATAAAAAGAAAATTTGTGCTGAATGTGTTTATTTCACTGCAACATCTTCAGTTGAATACATCGTAATCCAATGTGCTTCGTTTTCATGGAATTTCAGATTCATGGAATCTATTACCAGGTGGCATATTTCAGTAGGTCCATCTTTTATACTTATGTTTTACCAGAGAAGCATAATTAGTTATGAGTCAGAAAAGGTCTTCAGTAACCCATGCTTGCCGTAAAAGGCGACTATGCTTGTCGTAAGAGGCGACTAACGGATCGGGTGGTCAGGCTCGCTGACTTGATCGTATCCCAATTGCGTGGGTCGAGGCTCATGATTTCAATCACTGGATTGTCTGCCCAGACTCGATTATTTACAGACCGCCGTCATATATGGACATGGGTTGCTGAAGACCTATTATGCCCCGGGTCCCGTGCAAATTCACACTTATCAGAGGGCTACACAAAGTACGTGATGTAGACTACCAGCTGTCAGACTATCATTTTTTGGAAGTCTCGGAGTTTGTGTGGGTTAGGTCGCAGACTTTGTCTGCTGGCGATTAGTTGCCCCACTCTGAGAGTGTGGGTTCGAATCCCGGAAGTTACTCAACCCCAATAAGTACCGGAATTTGTACTTTACTATCAAAATGTAATCCCAAATATAACTTTAAAGTAGTCTTTAAAACTTCCCATTTCGCAAAAGAATGGATTCGTGGCATCCTCATTCAACTGCATCAAAATGGGCCCTACAATGATGTGTATTATAACAGAGGAATAACCCTGTTTTGTGTATTGAGTAAGAGTTTTGTCACAAAATAATAAATGAAGAGTTTTCTCACAAAATGATAAATGAAGAAGTAAAACTCCACAACAGACAATATTTCAGAATGACAAAAAATATTCACAAAACTTCAGGCAGGGTGAACTTTTCAATTTCAAATCGGACTTTAGGGTTTCCGGACCATAATCGTCATAGCATTTATATACGACACTCAATGAACGGTTCTACGTTTGTATCTTTATTTTGATGTTATCTAGCGCGATAGCGACGAGTCGAAAACTAGGTGCTTTCAGCGTGAAAACGACATTATTAATTCATTCTGGAGTACTTACGTGTCAATTTTAGCTTTATTAGGATATTTTAGGATTTGTATCAATGTATAACTTTTGTGTGATGAACATATTCTGAGATATTTAACGAAAACAAAAACTGTACAGTTGATGGTAGCCCTAAAGTTCGATTTAGTTTAAGATATTAATAAAAAGGGATAAAAACGTGCATCATGTGCTCGGCCGAAGTCACATTTTAACTGTGCAGCGAGAAATTGGTAGTTGCTACCTACCAACTTCCGGTTTTGCATTGACAGCGCTTACCCCTTTATGCTGAGCAATATTCCAGCAGCTCCAGCCTTTGGTGTCTACGTTTCACAATTTTGGAGGTACAGTCGAGCATACTCCATCCACCAAGATTTTCCAGAGCCTTATATGACGCTTTCTTAAAGTTGTCTGATCTTGTTTCCGTGTTTATTCAGGTGAACAATTCACTTACGTCTGCATGTGTTTGTGACGGGCACCAAATGTGGGGCAGGATTCACGAAAACTGTTATAATTACTAGTTGATAGTGATTCATAAACACATGCACATGAGAAAATCGGAATCTTTCTTCTTATTATGGAAAGGTTTCTGTCGTTTTTATTACACTGCCGTCTATTATCGACAGGTACATACAAAGTAAAGCTGGTAAACGATGAGCAATATTTGTAGATTTTCCCATGGCTTTTGGCTTGTTCATTAAAACAAGATGTGGGCGCATTTTCGTTGAAATGGTATGATTTACAGACCGCCGTCTAATGGCTGGAATATTGATGAGTGCGGTGTGTGTGCGCGTGCGTGCGTGCGTGCGTGCGTGCATGTGTGGCTGCTTATACTAGGCCGGACTGATACCGATTTATTGTGCTAGGCCACTGAGAACCCATGCCGCAGTTTAACATGAATACCCCACTCAGACACAGTATACTGACTCCGAGCCGACCAGTCCTTGTGTTAGTCCCTTAATGTCGAGCGCCAGACAGGGTAACAACAAGTACCATCTTTTAACGTCTTTTGGTATGACGCGCTGGGGATCGAACCCACGCTCTACCACTAGATGACGAACGACGGTCTTTCAATTAATGCCACATACAATACCATTACCTTTAAGTGTGTTAGCTGAGGAAGGAATCTGCCAAACCAACGCGTAAGTAATATGCTAAGACCACGTCCCAGTTTTTATCGGCTCTAGAAAGTTTAGATGTTTGCCATTTACAGTTGTGAAGATTATATCTCCGATGTCCACTTAGACTGTTATCAAATCTGATGAAATCGTCTGTCATCTTTTATGTGTACTAAATGTTATCATTACAATTAATTTGCTTGATAATGCCAATCAATACTCATGAGAAGGTTTCCAAACTGTCTAGCACGTTCACACATTCGTAATGGTTTCAATTGGCATTTTAACATCATATGTCAAAAGGTATGGTGTATTCCCAAACGGATCTATAAAACTAAAATGTGCATTAATGATTTACTTGTCTGTGTCAAATTATCAATTCATCATTTCATTCCATTTGTGTGCCTGTTGTTTGTCTCCAAACACAGATAAAAAGATTAATTTGTCTTTCACGCCCAATGGAAGTTGTTTCGGTAGCTAATCGAGATGCTATACAGTAAAGTACGGTTATAACGAACTCAAAGGGACTACTAATTTTAGTTCGTTATAACCGTAGTTCGTTATAAGCATATATACAGCATAACTACAGCAAATAGTCGGGACCAAAAAAGTAAGTTCGTTATAACCGTAGTTTTCTGTATCTATAAAATACGTTAACAAATACAATCATAAAACTTCTAAGACATTTTGTTAAGATTTAATTTAATTTTAATTTATGGGTAGGGCTAGCACTAGTGGTTCACGGTTTGGGTTAGGGTTAGGGTTATGAGTGTTAGTGTGACAGGAAAGCCTAAAGTATAATTAGTCAGAATCGGACAATCGACTATTTTTTGGAAGCGATGTCTTATGAATATGGAAAGGGTTTTATCGCTTTTATTATTATTAAAATCATGCTATAAGTTCATATTCAACTACATATGAGCGATATAACAATTTGCAATATCATAAGAAATAGTTGTGTACGATTCAGATTGTATCATAAGCTTGTGTCTATGAATCACTATCAAATAGTCTTGACATTAGGTGTTCGCGAAAAGGGCAGCATATTTTGTCCCACTTGTGGCACCGATCACAAATGCATGCAAATACCAGGCAATTGTTCCCCTGAACAGACACGGCAATATATGGTTCAAGTCGAAATAGGGAATGTTTAAAAAACACTTACTTTTATAAGACAAGTGTGTGAGTGGCAGGTGCTACCGGTATGGCAGGACATTCTTACCCATTTCGAGATCACCTGCTGTCATCACTGATTTTCACATTTATATAATTTTCATCGCTATTTGGCTTGTCGTGCCCAATAGGCGAAGTGAGGTGAAATGGGGTTTAACGTCGTGTCCAAGATTATTG